TTCTGGTTGATATCGACTGCTGACGGCTGAGGCGTAACTGTTTCGCTGCTGGCTGTGGACTTTGCCATCCGGTAGAACTTTGACCAGCTTCAGAAGATGCATAACTGCTGCTCGAGTGGCGTAGTGATGAATCCATGAGACTTGCCTCTGAGACACTTTCTCTGATGGGTAAAGGAGTTGGCGGGCCGTTGGTTAAACTACCTGTCGAGTACTGGGATAACCTCGGGTTGTAGGGAATCGAAGGTAATGATATCTTGAGGTTGTGATTCCGCGGTGGAGATCTTGATAAGTCTGAATGGTCAAGCATTGGACTTTGGTAGCTTCCATCTCCAGTACTTGGTGTTCGTGCGGGATGTTTTGGCGGGACGGGTGGCGCGGCAGAGTCTCGTGACATTATATTGAGATCCTGTACCACGCGATGGACCTCATCTAGCTGCTGATCGAGGCTGCTGTTTGAGGTGTACATACTGTCGATACGTTCGGCCATCGGCTTCACTACCCGTTCTAAGCGAGTTGAGGACTTGCTACTCAGTGTTAGTCATTGGAGGCTTCGAGACCGGCGTCACTAGCCTTTGTAATGCTTGCACCAAAACAGTTATTGAGTTTTTATGCACCTGTAGCAAGTCCCTCAGATTGTCCAGGTCACCACCTTCTGTGGTCCAAGGGATCGTCTTGTACTCGGCTAGTACCAAGTCACTCCATGCTCGCTCAATTGCGAAACCGCCCACAGTCCTATGCTTTTTGATGACCTGGTATTCATCTATTAAAGAATCGAGATCATCGACTACTCGCTTGCAGGATCCGATTATAGCAGCAAATCCGGCTCGAGTTTGCTGGTCAGCACTCTGCAGTAGATCGCTTTCGCACTCGGCATATAATGTCTCTGCCAGTAGCGTGAGTGCTTTGGCTAGACCGCCAATTTCAACTTCGATGCAACTGAGGTCAGATAGGGCTTGCTTTTGGCAAGCAGCGAATGCGCTTCCAATCTTCCAGGCTTTCTGAGATAACATGAGAATGTCCCCAATACTGGGGACAGTCATCGTAGCGAGCAGTAAGGTTCATGTACTGAAACGCGATAAACAGTCGGGCAGGCGGCAAAGACGGAAAGGCGATATCAATGGTAGTAGAGCGATCAGCACATAAACTCTAGCGGAAACACAGTCTGTGGGAGACGCTTATACCGTAGACACGGCAGACGTGGGGCTATGGGGTGAGAGCTCGCGACCCAGTCAGAGCCGGCCCAAGGCCATGCACTCGGGTATGGGGCTCCATGGCGAGGCGTACTACAAAGGTAAGGTGTCAAATATTCGCTTTGGCGGAGGATGAAGTAGAAGAACATTGGGGCCTGATGCTCAAGTGCGTAGGCGAACCACCAAGCCACGTGGGGTAAGCAGCGTCTCGTCATTGGCGTATGTTTATCTTCACCACACGGCTGGTACTCAGCCCCCCACACAGGTGCTCAAACATGGCAAGCGCCGACGTATTCAACCAACAAGGGTACGGACACGACTTTAAGCTCGGACACGACCAATTCCAACAAATATAGCACGCAATGTTTGAGATGCTTACGTTTGGTGCCAATGGCAGACTGCAGTCTAGACTGAACACCCCCACGGCGGGTGTCATGTTTCAGGGTACATTAATCTGTCTTGGATGTTCTGATATAGATATACAGCCCCGAGGAGCCGCCCGCCGACGGCCAATTGGAGTAGAAAAATAGGAGAAGAGTAGGCGCACGCATCAAGCCACAAATGATCCTGCAGGCTCAAGTGGCTGAAATCACCATGCCCGAGATTCCATATGCTTAGGAGCGTAGTATCGTACAAAAATTCTGCAAACGGTCGTTGACATGTCTTCGTTGGGGTGTTTACGCAAGTGGAGAGAAGAGACTGCACAAGTTAGTAAGGTAACCAAAAATCACTAGACGCAGACAAATATAAATTTCCGAAATGAGAGTGTTCCAAAGAAACATGCGAGCAGACTCTACGCCTCCGTGGTGCGAGGAGGTAAATGCGCCTCAATCCAACAAGAAAGCGGACTTATTCGCTAATGAGCGCAAAACAAAAACACCATACTCACCGGATGAGAGATGGTCTAGGCTCACTTCGTGAGTAACCGAGATATAGAATCAGGGGAAGGTAGCCGTAGTGGATAGCGACACGGGAGACATCGATGATGCGGGCAATGCGCTCCTGATAGACGGTCAATGTGTGCCTCCTGCGTCTGTCTTTACGAATTGTAGCCTACCTTGGACTCTTCCGATAGTTGATACATGATTGCTGTGTGGTTGACTGTCGGTTTGGGCAAGTCAGGACGGGTGACGAAATGGGTGACGAAATGGGTGACGGGGGGCTTGGTGGGCGTGATTGCGATGATGCGCAAAGCTCAAAATCTTGGGGTCCATGCACGGGCCGGAGACTTGGGCGAAATTAACCACATATGGACTAGCGCATGACTGGACTGTAGAGCTCCGAGATCTTTCAGCCATATTCAACTCCACCTTCAACACGCCACGACATCCCTCGCGCCCAGCCAACCGTCTTAGACACACGCAGAACGTGGTGCGATCTGAGATATCTGATTTTTGACGCTTACTTCGCTAAATTTCAGCCATGTCGGCTCCAAGCGCCCGTCACTGGTACGTTCTCTAAATCAATAACAACTAGCATGGCCTAATCAATGTACAGGGAGCAGAACAAAGAAGCCACCGTATATGTCGGTAATCTCCATGAGCGCGTCACACCCCGTATCCTTCACGAGCTGATGCTCAACACCGGTCGTGTACGCAACGTGAATATGCCAGTCGATCGTGTCAATGGGCAGCACCAAAGTTTCGGCTTCGTCGAGTTCCATACAGAAGCTGAAGCCGACTATGCTTCTAAAATTCTCAACAATGTTGCGCTTTACGGAAGCCGGATACGTGTGAACAAGGCATCCGCAGATAAGCAAAAGAATGTCGAGATTGGCGCAGAGCTGTTTGTTGGCAATCTCGATCCAGGCGTAGACGAAAAGACTCTGTACGACACATTCAGCCGGTTCGGACCATTGGTAAATGCGCCAAAGGTTGCGCGCGACGAAGTTACAACCGCGTCCAAAGGCTACGGTTTCATCTCCTACGGCGATTTCGAATCCTCAGATGCGGCCATCGCCAGTATGCACAATCAATACATCATGTCCAAACAGATCACAGTTCAGTATGCGTATAAGAAGGATGGCAAAGGCGAGCGACATGGAGACGAAGCCGAACGTATGCTTGCCAAACAAGCCAAGGCTCACGGAGTTGCACCTGCTGTTCAGCCTCTGCCAGCACATCTTTTCCAGCTTCCTCCAGGCGCTGCTCCAACAGGACCAGCTATGCCTGTAGATGGAAGAGGCGTACCCGGCGCGCCAAGCGGGCCAGGAGGGTATGGTCCACCGAGCGGGCCTCCTGGCTTTGTGCCCAACGGACCCGCGGGTTATGGCAGACCACCCTCTGCCGCTCCTATCGGTCACCCGTCACTCCCTCCTCCTCCAACGGGCCTGCCTGCTCGCCCACCGAGCGGTGCCCCAACAAATTTCTTTCCTCCACCTCCGGGATTCGCAGCTCCACCACCAGGCTTTGGGGCCCCCCCACCCGGTTTTGGGGGCCCTCCAGGCTACTCACAAGCACCTAGATAGATACAGTAATGCTTGGGTGTAAGAACAGGTAGCAGCAGGCCTATCGCTGCATACAAAAGCGTCGCGCCTTCGACGTGTCCATCATAGGTGCTTCAAGTACGTACTAGGGATCAGTCAATAAGCTTAGCCTGTAGCCATACCACCAGCACGCGGTAGAGTTGATCCCGGTGTTGATCCCTGGATGCTGCTCCAACGTTGCAGTATAAAGTCACACATAGAAAGCAAGGTATACAGTAGGATAATTCTCATGCAGAGATATACGAAGATCTATTCGAGGAAATGCTGTAATAGTCAGTAGAAGAGAAGGAACACGAGACGGAAATGAAAGAAAGCAAAGACACTTGGCGCTGAAACCCATATGCGCAGACCCACGTACGTCTGCTCATCTCAAGCCGCATATAACCAGCCCACTCGAGGCAACAAATGAAAAGCAGTAATTTGTCAAATCCAGACTTAAAACAAAAGAAATGATGTACGAGATAGTCCTGTGATGCATCGCCCGATTCCACATGCTTGGCCACTATTACGAGAAGCTGACAAACTTTGGATCGCGGGGGATTCCGTCAGCTCCAATATTGTTCTTCTTGAATCGATCCTGCATGTATATTCTGCGCGCCTCGTCAAAGTCGACACCTTGTCGCTTCATGATGCGCATGACCTCCTTCTTCCCCGCGTCATCAAGGCCTTGGCGCGAGTCGCCAGATTCTACATTGCCACTGAGGTCAAATGCTGACGACGATAGGCCTGCTTCGATATCGTCGCGGAAGGAGGTTGGTAGGCGCGAATATATGGGTTCAGGGATGGGTAGGGCGTGGATCCAACGGTGCCGGGTGAAGTATGCGGCTGTGGTGTGTTAGTAACTAGCAGTGAGGTGGGATGCGAGGAAAGTACCTGTTGCAAGGGCCAGGACAAAGAAGCAGACCGAGTAGAATAGGTACTCCATGTTGGCGATGGTACTTGCGATTTGGTGATGGGATTGTGGTGTATGCGACAGAGCGGATTCCTACTAGTATGCTCTATCGATCTGCAAGGAACGCGATGTGAGAGTGGTGACAAAGAACAAAGGAAATGGATGTGTGATGGACTATGATGGTAATGCGGAGACGCGGGGTCTTCACGCCACAGGCAGGGACATAGGTGCGGTTATCCCGGACGACGGTGATGCGTGACAACGGAGTCGCGGACAAGACGTTTCGGCTGTCACGGCCTGAACCTTAGGCTGCGCCTCACGCTCATGCGTCGTCACTTCCGCTCCGCTGCTTGGCGGCAGTGTCAGCGTCGGCGCATATGTTGATCCATCCCCGAAACACGCACTAAACGCATGCGGAAATGCAGACGAGGCCCTACCTTTCAATATTGGCGAACTTTCATTGACATCGTCCGTATCCACATTCCATACAGACACAATGGCCACCACTATCTCGCACGACCTTGCCTGGGAGATTACCAGTGAGTGAACAAAAACTGGTATACGAAAGACGGAGGAATGGGCGTTGACAATCGGCAGAGGGACGCAGCTCCACGCTCGTCAAGAGGGCAAATGGCGTTCAGTTCTCGCGCGATCCTCTTAACCTGAGGAACATTTACAGCCGCAAGGTATGCAGTCCGTTTTGGATTTTAGGGCCGTGTTTCGCTAACTTTGCGCAGAACGAGGGCTCAATCGCCAACAAGGTACGGCTACCACAATCTTCGGTTACGCCAAGCGCGAACACCAGATAACCCAGAAAACGGTGTTGATAATGTGAATCAGGCTATCGGTGTCATCCCCGGCAAGGATGGTGGTGTCACTCTTCTCACCAAGAAGGCCGACAAGCACCACCAACCCGCATCCGCCATCCAGACCACCACCTTCGGCCCCAGCAAGTCCACCCGCAAGTACGTCTCTTCGAACCACTGCCCCGGTAGCCGAACATGAGGATACCTGGGGATACCCTAGGAGTTTTGCTGACGGCCCTAGGACCTACTCTGCCATTGTCAACGCCACCACCAAGCGCAACTACCGCCCCGACCTCCGCAAGGACGCCGTCGCCAGGGCCTCTGCCATCCGCAAGAGCCAGAAGCCCGTCAAGGCTGACAAGCCATCAAAGCCTAGGGGTGTCAAGGCCAAGGCCGCTGCTGCTGAGAAGGCATAGATTATGAGTGGCTGGAAAATGTGCTGCATGTGAATTGGTTCGGAGTTCAACTTCATTCGGTTCATCTTCTGTGGGATTCGGAGCTCATGATATGACATGAGCATGGGCTGCATGAACAAACTAAGCTAGAGTCTTCATAGCGAATTGACTCGGCGAGAAATGAATACGCTTCGAAAACCAAAGTTGGGCGTTGTTACGCATTTGTTTCACACGAGGTGTACGCTTACAGGTCGATTAGAGCGCGGCTTTAAATCTCGATAAGTGAAACGCTTCTCTTACTGGACACCAAAGTTTCTGGACGATTGGCTCTGTGTCTGACGCATTCCTTTGCTTACTACCAGTACCTTGTACTGCCTGGCCTTTTCTTATATCTACTGCTCTCGCACCATGAATGTGGACACAAATCTGACGCGCTCAACTGACTAAATATCTCACTTGCACGCGTACATTTGTACGTATACAAAAGGTATATAGAATGCCAAACCGCGCTTTTGGTCTGCATTGTGACGATACATTATACACCCAACTGTCAAACGCGTACTGGCACCAGATGCACTGTGGATGTAGGGGCTCTGTTGTCTTACACGCGAGGCCAGTCAGAACGTACATGAGTACCTTGATCGACGTAAAAGCTATGGTATCTTCTAGCGTTGATTCGGTATATATTGGCTCGTCTGCTTGCAAGGAATAGGGACTACTTGGTGAGTAAAAGTGTATAGGGCCTTACCAGCCCTTGGTTTAAATACCACGAATGCGCCTTGTAGTATTGGCTAGTAGTTGAGCCAATTGTATCATATAAGATGCCTTCGTCGGCGTCGGACGTGTTCTCAAATGGAGACGTGTCGCAAGACCATCTTCTTGTTTACCTCCCGGCTTCTTCTGGGTCTTTATGTGTTACACGCAGGTGTTACACCTCGGGACCACAACCGATCTCTGAGATCTGTACTGGACACTAACTGTGTGTTTGGCGGAAATCGGCTTGCTTTCCTGTCTCCCCTGCCTCTCTCTGTGCTCTGGCTAGAACGAGAGTCACCCGACACCTTTGGGTTGTGATTAGGCAAAAGTGTTAAAGACTGTCTTTCCCCACAGATGGCTAGGCAGTTATCGTATGATCTAGCGCCATGGCTGTCTGGTAAGGCGATAAAACTTGGATAGCTGAATCGCATTCAACCAGGCATCCAGCTCATCTTGGTCGCTCCTTTCGGCAATCCTTCCTCCAGCCTGCAATCCTTCCGGCAACCAATATTCCTTTCCAAGCTACAGCAGGGACAATAATCTTGTTTTCTTAAGCCTCATCGTCAATTTGATACAGCAGCATATCCCGCGATGGGAAAGTCGATTGCTTCCTGGCTCTTACTGATGTCGGAGTGAGTGCGCCAACGCATACGGCGTTTGGAGTCTCGGGGCAGGATTCTCGTACGGTGGTGGACATGACTCCATCATGAATAGTCTGGGGTCGAAATAGCCAAGTAACGCGATTGGCCCTGCCCTGCCCTGGAGCCCCATCATTGCGCAATTGTAGTCAAGCAGCGCCAAGCATCCCACGACCTCGTTACGGGGTTTGGCGAGGCAGGGTGTTTGAAAACTGCCAAGTGGACTGTGTCCATGCTTTTGTAGCATACAGTCGTAGCCAGAATATAACGTGCGTATGTGCAAGTCAGGTGTGCATAAAGACAAGTGACGATTATGCAGGCTGGAAGATTAGCCGCGGAGATGCGTTGAAGGCATCACGTGACCCTACTGGGGGGTAGTCGATCACTGCCACGTCTTTTGTAGTACGTGCTAAAAGGGTACATACCTACTAAATAAAGACAGATCTCAAGGCTGGCATGCGGTGTGCGAGATCGAAGGCAGAGCAGCATCAGAGGACAGCACAGTGGTCATGAGGGGCGGCTAACCGAACAACCGGTACGGCTACGGGCCGCGGGGGCGTGGCCCCTTGTCAACGCCGCCAACTCACTAGGCTACCAGCCTTGGTCCGTCTGCTACTCCACTACACAGCAATGTCATCAGTCGTCCGAATCGTTAACAGCGGCTGTATCCGGCTACCCAACCTGGCAACAGCTCAAGACCGTCTCTCGGCCATGGCCCGGCAGAGGCCCGCGCAGGGATGAGCTGGCCATCACAACCGCCCCGGCTTCGCAATGTCATTAACCACGCCATTTGCCGAGTGCCATCGCCTAGCCTATCTGCCCGGTCAAACGCGGCCGCATTGTCGCAGATACACTACCCATGCCCTTACGTACCGTTCAATGGGCTGGCACTGCACAAACCTTGTACGCGCGCCGCTTGCCTCTGCCTGATTGGTCGTACTTACGCCCTCTTTGTGGTTGTCTCGTCCTGATCAACCGCCCAGCACTCACCGGCAGCTAGTGTCTTACTGCATCTTCATCGGGCATGCTGTCGGCCCACCGCTACTCTCGTTGAGCTCAGTAGAAGGTCGTTTGTAACCTCAATTCTGATTAATTGACGCTACAGAGCCTAGTCACCATACAGTAACAAGACCAGCGGAATGTCGTGGGCTTTGGTGGACTTTAGCTGTGTCCGATACTCTCCCGTAGAGGGCACACACTACTTCCACGACCCCGCATATCCCTCCTCGATACAGTTTCTCCTCTCTGGCCGCTGGGAGCCCTGGGATGTTAGCTATGTCAAGTAGTATGTCGCGCCTCACAAACATTATCATCGCCCGCTCATGCTGATATGGTCTAGCAAGGCTCGGGATCCAGACATTCGACGCGTTGCTGAGGAAGCCGAGACGCGACTCGCCCGGGATCCATATTCCAAATATTCTCCGTGGCCGTCTCCACCTCCTTCAACGGGTCCGCCGCTACTGACTTCAGCGTATCCTCACAGTCAACATCCACCAGCACTAATCAAGCAACCTGTGGCTGATCTGGTGACTCCTTCGCCATCTACTGTGACTGAGCATGCCGTTTCAGCGTCGCCGCGCGACCACAGTACGCCTCCATTACCAAACACTTCCACTAGTTATGCATCCCCATATGGAAACCGGTCTGTAGCACAGAATGGTGTAAATCAGGCTCCTGCTGGCCCTCCAAACTTCGTTCCGCTGGCTCCGATACACAACAGCCACGCGAACCACACTAATGGCCACCCGTCACCTCCTCAACATGCTGATGTTCCATGTGATCCCACGCTTCGGGATCCATCATCAAAACCAGTGCTATCAGCCCAGACAATTCTTTCACGCACCAGAGAAACTAAGATCCTACTCTCAATTGACGGCGACGGTATCAGAGGATTGTCTGCCTTACTCTTGGTCGAATCACTTGTCAATGCAATCTGTGTCAAAGTCGGGCAGCGCTTGGACAGCCACCAAATCTTTGACTTGACAGGAGGATGCTCTCTGGGAGGGATTATAGCCATTATGCTGTGCCGGCTTCGGATGCAAGCCCACCGAGCTAGGGAAGCTTATAAACAGATTGCGAAGCAAGTCTTTGCAAACAAGAGGGATTATTTCAAGTATTTGGATCCCCATGCACAAGTGCGAAGCGTTGATGATAGTGCGTTAGAGGATGCTATCAAGAGTGTTGTCCGACAGGAGCTGGGCAACCCTGATGAGATACTGCTCGACGGACGACCGGATTCGGGCGATGTGTGAGTGATGTCTTTGTCTTTCTATACAATGTCTAATGCTATATGCAGATTTGCCATTACAACACAAATGGATATCGGTACGTACCCTAGCGGTATGCTCTCCTTCGTGTAGTAATCGTACTAATAACAACCAGGCACCAACCGAGCAGCACTAATACGTTCATACCAAACACGACGCATCACAGGCCCAGACCTGGAACCAGACATGCCTATATGGCAAACAATGAAAGCCACTTCAGCAGCCCCAAGATACATACAATCCGAAAAGGCCGTCCCACAACGCTTCGTAATAGAAAAAGGCCTAGTTGACCACGGCACCACCAAGAACAACCCCGTCCGCGACATCCTCTACGAATGCCGCAAGCTCTTCCGCTACGCCAACGACATGATGATCATCGTCTCCGTCGGCACAGGCGTTGGCCTCGACCGCAGCCGCGAAATCCCCGAAATGGCAAATAGCGTCGAAGATCGCAAGGCCGAAGCACGCGGCTGGGGCGAGCGCTTCGAAGTCGACCACGCTGCCCTCATCGAACGCAGCTGGATGAAATATTTCCGCTTCGATGTCACGGGCCTCGAAGATGTTCCGCTGGAAGAATGGAGTCATGAGGATATCATCAAGGAGAAGACGTCTGCATATCTTGCTCAACCAGATGTGTGTCAGAGGTTTTATGCCTGTGTTGATGCTATTGCTGCATTACTACTAGGTCCCCAGGGTCGGTAGTACCCGGTGGCTGGAGGGAGAAGGATGAGAAATGGAATCTTGTACTGGGTGGGTTAGTTTTTTCAAAAAGCAATCGGTGGTCGTCGTGTCGGTTATTTATCAGATCTTACTTTATATATTTCGGGACGAGTTAAATGCTTTTGCTAGAGCTTCTTTTTTTTATGAGAATTATCTTAATTACACGTTTTGTACCTTTTCGAAAACTATTGTTTACAATACACTTTATTACATGGTGGAGGTGAAGGTGAAGGTCTACTTGTGCTAAATTCCAATATGGTTAACGTGATGGATAAGCGAGTCGCGCAGGCAAGCGAGTCGCGCACCCACTAAACCTACGCACCTCTATAAGCGTATAGCGCCACCACAATGTAACTATCTTGATATATATTAATATAATATATTAAGTAGTACCTATAGTATCTTTCTTGCATGTACGCGTATTATGACCAGTCTCTCTACACCTACTACAGCGCGCAAGAGCCTGGCGACTAGCACCTGATCGCTCTCCTCCTTGACGCTCTTCATGAGCAATCTGCTGATCAGCCTCACGCTGAGCAAGTAGATCCTCTCCAGCTCCCTTTGTTAGCACTCCTTGCTTCTGTATTCGCTTTTTTTTACGCTGCCTACGCTTCGTTACTGCTGCATTAGCTCTCTCAAGGCTAGTGATCCGATCGCGCATTAGCTCAGCCGAGAGTATCATTACCTCTGCCCCCTTCTTAAGCTGGTCAATTGCTGCAATAATTGAAGCTGGCGATGAGCCTTGGTGCCGCTGAACGCGATCGCGTATTAACGTCGATTGAGCTTCAAGCTCGCGTGTGTTGCTAGGCGTACGAGCCTGCCAGAGAGCCTCTAGAACAGCTGGTGGAGTAGGCGTACGGAGCTTTATATCAAGCTTTGATAGAACAGC